TCATATCATCAGAAACATAACAACCTTCTTTACCTAGTGCCACTGATGTATCTCAGCCTAACCCAACTCATGTCAATGCCTCTCCACCACCCATACCAATACCACAACCTATAGCTCCTAGACATCCAATGACAATACACTTAAAAAGTGGTATCTTTAAACCACGTCTGGTTCTCGACCTACATGCTCTCATACAATCCTCTCTTAAGACCAGTGAACATACCACAATCACTCAAGCTCAAAATTCTCCACACTAGCGTAAAGCCATGTGTGAAGAATATGATTCCCTACTTCATAACTCTACATGGACTCTTGTGCCTTTTCATCCTATACAAAATATCATCGGGTGTAAATAGGTATTTTGAATTAAGCGGAACCCATACGGGTCCGTTGCTAGATACAAAGCTCATTTAGTTGCCAAAGGGTTTCATCAATGACCTAGAGTTGACTTCACAGAGACTTTCAGCTCTGTACTTAAACCTACAATAATTCGGCTTATTCTAAGTTTGGTCATCTCCAATGGCTGACACTTATGCTAATTGGACGTTAATAATGCCTTTTTACAGGGGACTCTAACTGAAGATGTCTTTATGCAGCAACCCTCTGGCTTCGTTCATCACTAGTATCCAAGACATGTCTACAAACTACGAAAAGCCATTTATGGACTTCGTCAAGCTCCAAGAGCTTGGTATACTAAACTTAGATCGTTTCTAATATCAATTAGTTTCATCAACTCCAAGTCGGATACCTCTTTATTCCTATGACAACAAAACATAAATACAATATATCTTCTAGTGTATGTAGGTGATATTATTGTCATAGGCAATAACCCCTTAGAGATTCAGATATTTTTAAAGTAATTAACTGATCAATTCTACCTCAAAGATTTAGGACCCCTAAACTACTTTTTGGGAATGGAAGCAACATTTACTTCCTCAGGTCTTCTCCTATCATAAAGAAAGTATATTCAAGACTTATTATTAAAGACAAATATGCAGGATGCAAAAGAGGTTGCAACTCCTCTCTCTACTTGTGCATCATTCAAATTATGTGATGGCAGCCCTCCTACAGACTCAACTCAATATTGTCAAGTACTTGGCTCTTTACAGTATTTGGCTCTCACCCGTCCAGATATCTCATTTGTAGTCAATAAACTATCTCAATACATGCACTAGCCTTCTACTATGCATTGGTCTATGATTAAATGAATTTTGTAGTATATTAAAGGGACCCTCAATCATGGTCTCTTTCTCCGCAAACACACTCCACTTCATCTCCATGCCTTTGCTGATGCTGATTGGGTGAGAAACTTTGATGATATAATATCCACCTCAGGGTATATCGTCTTTCTTGGGTCTAATCCAATCAGTTGGAGTTCTAAGAAATAAAAGATAATCGCTCGGTCTATAACTAAAGCTGAATATCGTGTCATCGCTACCGCTGCTGCTGAACTCAATTGGGTTATAAATCTCCTCAAGGAACTCAAAGTTAGCTCTACCCTTACTCCTACAATCTATTGTGACAATGTTGGAGTTACCTACCTATGCGTCAATCCAATGTTCCACTCACGCATGAAATACATTGTCATCGACTTTCACTTCGTGCGAGATCAAGTTATCAGACGTCAACTTCGTGTCTCTCATATTCATATGGTTGATCAACTAACAGACTCACTCACGAAACCTCTAGCCCGCAAACTATATTTGTTACATTGGTCCAAGATCGATATCCTTGATAGGAGCTCGATCTTATAAGGGCATGATAACAAAGATATTTCCTCAACTGTATAGTAGATAAGATTTCCTTAATTGCACGAGGAAATCTCGCTGTTCAGTTGATAAAAATCCTCTCTTTCACCATGTATAAATAGATATTATATGACACTGATTAAGATATGTTTTCTCCTTTATCTCTATAATTTTACTCTTCATTCTATCAGTTTATCAAAAACAACTTATTAAACTTCATTAATGAATCTCGTTATATATGGATCCTCTTCATTAATTTGACTCGAATTATTTCAAGCATCATGATGATTGGCTTATGAGGAGGTTCCAATATGATTGAATTGCAGCTTTCACAGAAGTTATTCAGTTAGAATATTCCACTTCACTATTGTTCTGAAGTGTGATTTCGCCCAATTTGCAAGTGGTCTATTTGTTAACCAAATGGTAGCATCATTGTCAAATTCATTCATTGCTTGCTTAAAGTCATGCGCCGTAGCTCTTGCATCTCTCCAAAATAATTTCTCCAATGCTAATCCCTTATGCTTCATCTTAAAATTATTATATAAATGTTTCAAATAGAATATGTGCTCGGCGCTAGGAAGCAAGTGTGCAATTGCCTCCAAATATACCTTTTTGTTTATCAGCGATGAATGTCTACTCATTTGAACTAGTAACTGAGATATTTAAATCCCTAACCAGTAAGTTGATAAACCAATTCCATGCATCATTTTTCTCCTTCTCAACAACTGCATAAGCAAATGGATACATTTGATTAGTTGGGTCAATCCCAACAATAGTCAATAATACAACTTTCGATGTATAACTCAAATGACATCAATAAAGGCTTATAATGCGCCTATACTATAGGAACTCTTCCTTCGGTGCAACAAAGCAGATGTAAATTACATTAAATATATCAATTTTGCTATCAGATCTATATTTAATGAGGCATGTGCTCCTCCGATTTTTATTATATATCTCTTTGCAGTAATTTCATAACAAACCATATTTCTTTTTTTTTTTCATTACTTTTGATCATTATCAATACTTCATTCTTCACTCTATATGCTTTTTGTATAGGAATATTCAAAGTATACTTTGGTTGGATTGCTACCTTCAAAGACTTAGTTGTCCAAGTAAAATTCATTTTTATCCTATCACAGTTTTATCGATCAACTATTTAACTGTAGCTAGAGGATTGTCAAATGATATCTCACATGAATGTTCTGCATTCAAAGTTTTTACTTGCAAAGTTAATTGTCCTTGCGTTTTCGATGCATATATCATCTAGCCACATCCAGCTTGGCATACTACTCTAATCCTATCCTTATCATTCTTTATATATCTAAGTTATTTACCCATAAAAATGTCATGTTACTTGATCGTAATACAAAACTCTTTAATATCAATAAAACATATTTCAAATTGAATGCATGACTAGTATTATCACCTCTAACATCATAGTATGCATATTATATTATATTTTTATTTTTGTCATCCACTTTGACACCAATTACTGAATCTTCACTATCACTATTATCCTCCTTTTCTTCATCTTCTGATAATGTGGTAATAGATTGTCTAAATTGATCCAATGTATATATAACTCGAGTAAAGTTTGCTTTATGAATAATAGGTTGTTGATTAGTTTTCTCAACCTCCCCTTGTCTTGTTGTATTAGACAACTATTTTTCTATTTTATCTCCTTTATTTTCATTCTCATTGGAACTACTATCACAGTCAACAAGAAGATCATCTACAATTAGAAGCAAAAACATTATCAACATAACAAAAGTAAAAAATAATTCAGCATACATATTAAATAATAATTTTATACATTCTATAAGAAATGATACTCTATAAGTAGCCTTTATACTCTATAAGTAGCCTTTTTATTATATACGATCAAGTAATTCTTAACATATTCGATATAAAAATAATAATTAATTTATTGAATTATATTATCTATCAATTCTTTAATAATGTCTTTAGGATATTCGATAAATTTTATATTTTATTATAGTATTTTTAAAAATTCTTAATTTAAGAATGTAACACATTATAATTCAACAAATATACATTTAACATAGTGACTCAAAATATAAAAAAATTAAATACTTACCAAAGTTTTTATTATTCGATAATTCAATAATAAGATCTTGTCTTTATATCTCGTCCTCACTCTTCTCATGACTGTACTAGAAATGCTGCTGTTGCTTGGGGCCATTACACTTTGATCATTGATTCTTGTTGGTGTTGTACCTAATAAAGTTTAAGAACTTATCGGCCTCGTGAACAATGGGAGCAACACAATAGAAGTGGAGATACACAAGCAGCAAGCTTCTCTAATGATGATAAGACCGTCATTAGCTAAGGCGGGGATAATGAGGCGACAAGCGAGCTGGGTCTGATGTGGTGATGGTCGAGTGAGTGCAGTGGGCGAGCGACGAGAAGTAAGTCGGAGAGAGGACATGAAGAGAAATTGATTAAGGCGAGAAATGGATATAAATTTAATAATTTAAAAAATAATAAAATTATGTTTTAATCTTTTTCACTCGTGCTCTTTTTGCATGTGACTAACATGTGTGATTTTTTTCGTTGACAAAATTAACGATGTAAAAAAATTACGTTAAATATTTCACATTCCTAAGTATAAAGACCCAAAATTATTTTTTAAAATATAGTATACTGTTAGAACCCTTGCAGATTCTAAACTTGGGGTTGATCTCTTTAGGGGATCGGCCTCCTTGGAACTCTATAGGGGTTCCTCCCTCCAAGTTGCTGCTTAAAGGCTGCAGAAAAGATTCATCTATTGCTTATAAAAAGAGGAGGAATACATGACTATTTATAGGGCTTCTAAACCCTAACTCTTAATAGGACTCATACTAAAGACTCCTACTTCTAACCAACTCCTAATAGGACTCCTACTCAAGACTCCTATTCCTTTACAACTCCTTATTTTTCTCTAAGAAACAACCTCCTACATCAATGTCCCTCTAAATTAGGACTCTCCTAGCTAGAGTCCTAACAGAATGTCCCTCTCAATTAGGACTCTCCTAGAGTCCTAACATATACTAACCATAGTTAACCATATGTATCATTACTCCAATTTAATCATCGTAGTGTTCCCTACATTATATTAAATCTGATTAATTACGCTTGAGATAATTTAACCCGAATATCTTAAGACGGAACCCAACGCAGAATAAAAAAAGGTGGGAGCTGTCATCTTGGCCCTCCGCATGATGCATAAACAACATCAAAACCCTCCGATCGATATCGCACGGACGACTCCACCGACAGTGTTGGCTGATCGGGGGGGTCGGTGCAAAGTCAAAATCATCGCCTCCGGAAACTGGAATCAATCGAGAAATAATAGCCATTTACTGATTGCTTGTTCTAGCAATCTTCCCCCGAAGAATCCTCCCTGTTCTTGGCTTTCGTTAAAGTACTACCTCCCATGGAATTCTTTAAGTTATTGTGATTTTCCTCATAATAATTTGGCCCACCTGAAAAGACAGCAATGGGGGAAAAGGGCGACTCTTCTGCGTTCGACTTCTTGATCGGATTTTAGGCTGCAAGTGTTGATGTTGCAGTACAAGCCTTAACCTACCTTTTTCGGGTAAGTGATGAGTTTTCCTTTCTGTTGTTCTGATGATGAACTTGGTTTCGGGATTGGGATTTGATGGTTTAATCCGGTAATCTTATGACGCAGAAAGGAAGAGAGGAGGAAGTTAGGGTTTCGATCTGCCAGACATAGATGGCCATGCGGTGGAGCTTGGTCATTTACTTCATGAGCGTGGTATGGGCGGCACTCAATGGTTGGGTCTCTGCGTGTTTGATGGTCGCCGACGAGATCGCCCGGGGTCTCAGGGCCGGCGACATCGGCCCGCTACCTATAGGTTGACCAACGTCGCCGAGGTCTCTCTCTGATCCCTGCTTTTATCTTTTGTTGATTTGTGTTCTTTGGTGAAATTGTTGATTCTTATTTTTTGGAATTCTGACTCTGATGCGGTTCACTCTGCTATGATAGAAATCATTGTTGTCTTAGTATTCAGGGCTAGATTCTTCCCGAACTTATATTACTTGGAATGGTTGAAATCAAAATTCTGTCAGTCATTCTGCGAGTTTGCGGCAAATTATAATTTTCTTAAGCTTTAAAAGTTTTTCATATTCCCTCAAGTAATAACTTTAGCCTTCAATATTCCCTTAGAAAGGGTGAAGAAGTTACTTTTGCCTTTAACAAATCCTCCTTCTACTGTTTGTAATACATAATGTTGCTTAGAATAATTTCAAGGGGTCTCTTGGACAATAAAACGATTGATGAATGATACCTTTTCGAGGATTGCAACACTGGCTTTTTTTAACTGTGATCAAGTTGTTGCCATAGCCACTGAAAGAAGAAACAAATTAGTACTCGACATACTAGAATGATCCCATTTTTGTCAACTGCAGGTGAGTGTCTCACCACTAGCAAAAGGTTGACTCCTTTTAATTTCACCAAATTGGTCTCATCACAGCTTGTTCGATGCCGTGAGGATGAAATAGTGTGCCATCTGTCATATCCTAAAGTCAGACTATTTTTGCAGGAATGTTGGAATCTTGATAGCTTGGCAGGGAAGAAAGTTATTTGGCTTTGGACATATTACATGGAAAAGATGTTTTTTGTGGATGAACCCATTGTTGGTTTTTTACTCTAACTTGATCATAGGTTGTGTGAGCAAAATAAATTGATGGTGGTTTGCAGAATTTATGTGAAATGAGTGAATGAGTATGTTTGATTTGGATTTTCATTTTTCAAATTTCTAGTGGAGTTGCAGAAATATCTTAACTGAAAGGGTGATATCAGGCATCTCTCTGTTAGTTCTTCACTTATTCTGCTGTTGGTTCTTAACTTATTCTGCTGGAATCTTGATGGAGATGACAAATCTCTGTTTCGGCTACCACCTAAGATGGGAAGGACAATTATAGTATAATATGACAGCAAATGAAATTGAAATTCATCATTGGATCAGATTTGCTTTATATCCATATGGGGTTTTGGTTGGAAATCATCTGATTTTGTTTGCATTGCAATGATAACAACTTTATTTCGTGGGCTTAATTGTTGTGTTCAATACAAATGATATGAGAAGTATTCATATTGACTAAGTGTAGAAAAGTAATCTGGTAGTAATGAAGTGTGCTATGTATAACTTTCTATTTTGAGTTGAACATGAAGAAATTATGATACTTGAAGTATCAAAATCATAATAGTTGTCTATAACAATTAGCTTCCTATAAATTGTTCTTATTATTCTATATAAAAATGAAGAATATAAAACATTTGAGATGGATCATCCATCCATAATTGGTAACAAGACTTATGGTTCTAGATACCACCTAGACCGTTCTATACTAGGTGATATTTATCAGTCCAATAACTAACCGAAACATGGACCAGATTTTTTCGAGCGATTTGGTCCAGTTCGGCCTTTTAATAATCTTTTAAGGGTGAAAGGCTTCTCTCCCTTCTCTAGCATATTATTAAGTCAGATTTTAGTTGTTCAATGTGGATGTTGATTTGAAGTCTGCTTTGAAGCCGGTCGATGTCCTTTTCTGCATTTGTCTCAAGATGGAGTGGTGTTTGGTGAAAAAATAGACTGAGCCGAGACCCTACAAAACTGCATTGAGGGCATGCCCAACAAGGCCCCTTTGATGCTTAAGTTCTCTTTTAGAGGATTTAGTTAAATGTTGAATATATAGAAACACAATAGTATTAGAGTGAATAAGATATCTGATGGCATACTTGAGAGCCCTTTTATAGTGTGGTATGCGACCATTGAGTTGAAAGTTGTGGTTAGTGCTAGGGACGGTTATGCATATTGTTCTACCATACGTGCGATCGTGCAGAACCGAACTCGAAAAGACTAAGAAAGGTTGGTTGAGTTAGCTTCTCGTAAGTATTACGTAGCCGATTACACGGGGCTAAATTGACCTCCTTGTTGGCACAACGTTGGCTACCGCATAGGCTTTGGGCCTACATGCCATGTCAGTCGAATGAGGTTGAGGTGTGAATATGACGTGTCAAAGAATTGAAGTGTTGACTTGGTGTGTGTCGGAAGAGAGTAAGCGTAGGCAGCATTTACGCCCTTCTTAAGTTTTAATTTTTTTTTGGTTATATATTTCCAGAGATTCTTTAACATGTTGTCCTACAATGTTTACACCGTAGCCATCACAGTTTATTTCATTAGCCGATCCAAGTATGTCCTTCCTTTTCAATATTGTCTAAGACTGATTTAATAGTTGATGATTTTTCTGCCTTGTAGCCAAAAACATGGTCAAATTCAACTAGAATATATTAATCAATGTGAACTGATTTTGGTCAATATTAGGTATTAAAAAAACAGAGAAAAAAGAAGGTAAGGAGTGGAAGGAGAAGAGAGAAGAAACAAAAGAATCAAAAGAAAAAACTCTTATGACTATATGAATTAGAAGAGACACTACTACTGCCGTGTTTTGCATTTATTGTGGCCATCATATTTGTCATATTTTACTATATATTCATTGTTTGCTATTAGTTAAAATAAAGATGAAAAGATATCTGGAAAATAAAGGGGAGTAAACCTGACAGAGAAGGGATATGTAATGATTCATAATGAATATCATATTCCACATGCACTTGCTTTGAATGAAACTCTTTTTTGTTTATTTTTGCATTGCCTAATATTTCTATCTCATAGTAATTAGAGAAGGATCAGAGGCATAATGAGAATGAATTTTTATTACTTTATTGATATCTATTATACATTTTTAATCTTTTACACTTCAATTTCATTTTCTTAGATAGATATGTAGGTAAAAGAATATTTAAATATTTTACACTTTATCCTTTTTTATATTTAAAAATTTGAAAGTTCTTCCTGAGGCAGATTCTGATCTTTGTGATCCAATCCTACCAATCTTGGTTATATTGTCTCTAGCTGATTCCGATGTCAATGCTATATCGATCTTGGTCATATCTAGCAAATATGCTGTGACACTATATGCCCATGTGATATTTGATTTTATATGCATGGTTAGAAACCTTGGTTTTCTGATCTTAATGTTTGCAAGCCTTAAAAAGTTACGAGTTTCTATCATCTTTTGAGTTTTTATCATCTTAACATTGCTTTGACATCCTGTTAAGCAGGTAACCACCAAATTTGTTTACTTAAACTTGAGCTACTAATTTAATCTATGCACATTATATAAACAATATTTTTGATCATTTGAGACTTAGACTACATGATGGGATAAGGTTATAAGCTGCATCTTCCTTTGTTTAAATGATTAGGCGATATCTTGCTCTGATCTATATGACTAGGTGCTGTTATTATTAGTGACTTCCGAAGACTCTTCCAAAGGCTCAGGCATTTAGTTATAATTAAAGAATTTATCATCATAACAATCTTGATTTTTGGGATTTATCAACTTTATGAATTGATCGATAGCTCTATGGTAAAAAGTGGAAGGGTCTTTGAAAGTCACTAATAATAGCAACATCTAGCCGTAGAGCATAAAAAGAAAGATGCAACTTATAAACTAGAGGAAGATGTAGCTTATACCTCTGAAAGTTTCAAATGATTAAAAATGTTGGCTTCTATAAGCGGTATAAGTGCATAGGTTTGTAACTTGGTGGCTCATGCATAAATTTGCAACTTGGTGGCTCAAGTTGAAGTAAACCAAGTTTGGTGGTAGCTTGCTTAGTAGGATGGATAACAAAGTAGAGTGCAGTGATTTAAAAAGCGCTAGGCGCTCGCCCGAGTGAAGTGAGGCGCTAAAAATTAATAATATTAAAATTAATAGTATTAAAATCAAAATAATAGTGTTATACTGTATACAGTTAACAGTATACTGTATACTATTAATAGTATACAGTATAACAGTATACAGTATACTTTTAACAGTATATTGTATACTGTTAACAGTATGCTTTCGATTTCGAAAGAGGAGAAGCGAAAGAGAAGAGAAGAGTGTAAGGGAAGACCGAGGGTGTTGAGAAAAGCGGGAGCGGTAGCGGTAGCGGCAACGGCAAGCGATGACAATGGCAGCGACAGCGGTAGCAATGAGCAACGGGAGCGGGAGCGGGAGCGGCGAGTGGTGACAGAGGCAATGACAGCAGCGAGCAGCGGCAGCGGGAGCGACGAGCGACGACAGTGGCAGCGGCAGCGGTAAAAGCGACCAGCGGCAGCAGCGAGCGGCAACAGTGGCAGCGACAACGGTAGCAGCGAGCAGCGTGAACGACGAGCAGGGTTAGGGTTGGAGAAGTCGTGCTGATATCGGTGCTTTAGTTGGTTCGATTGAACCAACTAAAGTACCGGAGACCGAACCAGACCTAAATTGCTGGTTCGATCGCTTGGTTTAACCCAAGCGCTCGCCCGAAGCGCCTAGCGCCTAGGCTCGGGCGAGTGCCTAGGCGGCGCCTCTTTGAAGCGCGTCGCCTGGAAATGAAGCGAGGCGCTCGGGCCTCGCCCGAGCGCCTAGGCGAGCGCCCGAGCACCTTTTTAAATCACTGGTAGAGTGATAGCAAAAAAAAAGAACATTTAAAAGTATGTAGATTTAGAAAACCATTTAAAAGCCAAGGTTTTTAAAACTGTGGATTGGTTTGGTCCATTTAAAAATTTGTCTTTTTAAACTGCCTAAAATCGAGGATTTGCAACTTGCAACTCCTCACCTATGTATTCTATCCACTCTCGTTGTTCGTGTGCCCATCTCTTGTCGACTGCTTCCGTACATCTTCTCTTCCTCCACCCACCGACTCCTTTCCTCTTCTTCCTTCTTCCTTCTTCCTTCCCTCTCTCCCTCTCAACATTACCATGGTATGTTTCGATGTACCATTACTTCTTGTAAACATAGTCATGTATCCTTGGGACATCATGCTCATTATTGTTATATATAGTCATGTATCAGTTTAACTGTATGTTACCTTTTCAATCTGTAGATCAAAACTTCAATAGTTACATTTTTATATGGGATATGGAAGTCAGCCATGCCTTGTATCATAATTTAAGCCATGTAGGGAAAAGACACAATGAGGATAAAAGTGTGAGGACTCTTTATATTCTTTGCCTAGAGTGATGAATGAATATAACCTTTGTATATTACAAGGATAGAAGTTGCTAGGATGGCAGGTGTAAGGTTGATGGCCTTTCCAATGGAGGACCCCCAATTTTGGTCTTTATATCATACAGAGACTTGTACAATCATGGTCATTGAAACAAAATCAAGTTCTTGTACAATCACACAGAGAGACTTGTACAGTCCTGATCATTGAAGCAAAATCAAGTTCTTGGATTTCACTGATGTGCAAATTTAGAATGTGTCGATTCTCAAAGTTTTTGATTAAGTATTCTTTCTATGGTGCCTTCAATAGAAATATTATCCTTTCAATCTGATAAAAAATATATTTGGTTTTCGAACCTACAAGTCATTGATCCTTTGTCATGTTTAGTAAAAATTATGATGTTTTTTCAAGGAATTATCTGCAAGTCTACATGTTTGACACTTTGTTTCTGATAGGTGATTCCATCTTTTGATCTAGTCATTACTGCACATAAATTAATGGTCTAAAATACCTACAGTATGGTATGGTGTGTACCAACCAATATTTACAAGTCCAATTGAGAGCAAACATTGAATCATATGGTCTGGTATCGAACAGTATTTTATTTTATTATTTGTTTTGGGTGATATTAGGTGGTATGAATTGGTAAATCATTTGGCATAAACCTGTAGAAAACCAGTCTGGTAAATTATCGATTTCTTACATATAATATTTGTATGTTTCCCTTCCAAATGTTTTTAGTAACAAGCATATGCATATGATGGCAGATCAAAGTTATGAAAGAATCTTTTTTTCTTCTAGAGAAGTTGTTGATTCTGGAAGAACTTGTGTTAGGCATTTCAAGTTTCTATAGCTTTTCTTATTTTCAAGGCTCCATACAAAGATGTCACAATGTTGCAGGAGGCAGTAATCTGGTGCTACAGCCTTTCCTATTCTCTTAATATTTACAAACTTGATTCTCTTTTATCCATGGCAAACTTAGCTATCTCTGTTGTTGTCTTTTTTTCTTTGCAGCCACGGAAGAAACGTAATCACTTGCATTTAAGACACCGAGAGTCTGACCTAGAGAAGAAAAGGAATCAAAACCAACAGGCTATGCGTATGCGTTCCTCATTTCTTTGGTGAGTTGAGTATTGGTAAGTTTGTGTCAAGCAATCGAAAGAGAAGGGTGCTGTAATTTGAGTTTTACGTCAGAGCTATAAGAAACACCGAGAAACTTTGCTGTGAGCTCATCACCTCCGACGGTGGCAAGCCGACGTATTGATCCATCCGACATATCTGATATGACGGCAGAGGTTTGCCGTCGTCGGACAGCTTCAGCTTGTGTTGGTGGTTGATGAATAGTTTTGGCTCTATGACATCCTAGTAAGACAAAAACAACCCCCCTCCCCTCGTTGTTAAGAAGAGTAGGATGAGGTTACTGTTAAGATTGTGAAGCATTGGGTACTAGAGACTTGTGAACTCGAGTGAGGGATCAGACCTACTTACTACACCCCAAAAGTCTCTCCTTGCCAAATTGTCAGCTTTAAAATTTAGCTTCCCACTTTTACGATATGCTCAAAAAAATTAATCAACGAATCTTCGACTCCTTCGCAGCAACTCACTCGTCGTGTCTTTCCTTTCCAAAATTGATTAGGAGTTGGCCGATTTCCAAGTATGATTGAGCCGATCCTTTTTGTGTTTTGCGAGTTGATGGAGGAGTCCGGGACTGGGCTCTATCGGACAAAGGTTGGGTTCCCGCAAACCAAAATTTGTGCCTCGTTGATGGTAACACTTGTAATTGAAAGCCCAAACAGTCTCTGGGAGATCGTAGGGCTCATAGGAAGTATTATTATGAGTCGGGCCGGGCCATATTGTAAAACTTGCTCGAATACATTTTGCTCCCAAAATGGTGGAACAGAAGCACTGTTTCACCCATCATACTGGAATATCGAGAAAATCATACCGTTTGTAATCTTCTCTATCAAAAAATAAAACATAATTATCGAACCAACATTTTATTTTCAAAAATACTTTCTCGATCACTTACATCTTCTTACGACAAAAGATCGAACCAGCTAGTTAAAAATAAAATAGTAAAATGATTGGTGGTAGTACATCATTCTGATTTTCTGTTCATAAATTATCTTAAAAAATAAGTAAATAAAAAATAATTAAATAATCATACTGAGCAAGGCTTAAGGATAATGCTTGTGGATTATTTTCAATCATTTCTTAACGAGAATTCCGAACGCAATTAATTCTCATATGAATCATTTTTTCATATAAATTCTTATTATTATTATTATTATTATTATATGTATATATATATATATATATGTATATATATATATGTAATTACTATGCATCAATCTTATGCAACATAGCTCAAAGCCTCAACCACACGTAACCATCATCATATAACATCCATACATGATAAGGTGTAAAGGTCAGAATTTCAATGTTGGACATTTTCTAATAGTTGTTAGACAATTTTACTCCACATGTCAGAAGAGATTTTATATTTTACTCCTAACATAGGATAGGATGCCGCGATGTCGAAGTTGATACACATTCCTCGTAGTTGGGCTTTTCTGCGGGATTTTAGCCTTAAGTCATTGCATTAGGTTTACCACTTCGCTACTTAATACTGGATTTGGCCGTCTAGATCCATATGTGCATGTGCCCACGTTAGATGTGACATGTGCTGAGTCTCAACCTACAACGTGTCTTAACTCAAACTTAGGTCAAGTTCGTACATCTTACCCAAGTCCTCTGTCTTTTATTTTATTTTTTTTATAGATTATGGTGGTTAACAAATATAATTTACCCAATCAAAATTCAGTAAATGGCAATTTGTTGTCGAATAATTAAAAAATCTAAAAACACAACGTAACGAGATACATGAGATCGTATTTCTAATTTTGGACGGACATTACAGTTGTTGCTTCCACTGCGTGATTCGCACACATTTTACATTTTCCTCGCAAGTCATATCATGAGACATGGTTTTGTCAGGTTTGCTGCTGCTTCTTACGTACTAATGACAACTAAAAAGGCACTATCATATATTACAACCAGTTAACAGAACTCACATTATGCTAAAGCTAAGATTTCCTGCAGGACTACATATACCAAAAACAAAGGGAGAGTTTGTACAAATTATTTTCTGGTTTCTCTTCCATAATTATTGACTGAGAGGGACACACTCGAGTTCGATCTCCAGCTCACCACGTTCGACATTTTGAAGTTTGAGGGTAATCTCCTGCTTTACTTTGCCATCAACAAGGGATATTACGCTATCTTTGACCAATGTGTTGTCATCAGTGGCCAACCATTTCCCAAGCTGCATGGACTCGGAGATGCTGGAATTTTCGTATGCTTTCGCAGCTGCCACGAGCGGCTGGATATCTATTTCAGCCTCCCCCATGCGATCATCAGTCGAGAAAGTGTCCTTGTCGTACACTTGCTGTCATGATACATATGCAAAGTTATACTCAAGACATTGCTACTTTGTTTAAGTCCACTTGATAAATACATCATACACCTTGACTACATTGACATTTTGCATGTAGAACTCGATCTAATTACGTAAAAGACACAGGCTTTCTTCTTGGAGTGAGGATTACATCAGTTATATTCTATCAAATTATTGCTGCTCATGCATCTTAGTCACTAGCGAGAAACTTACTCGATGTCAGCTAATTTAATACTGGTTTTTCTCTAACTAAACTATTTTACAAGTTCTCATCGAGACAAATGAAATGCTGGTTCACAAGTTTGATTACAACATAATACTCGTAGTAATATTAAACAGATTCGTGTAAAGCCTGATAGGTTACAGTGATAAAAACTAGTGAACAGAAAGCAAATTCAAGCATTAATCTTTATTAAGGTACTATGCAAAATGGTTTCCTATTTCTGGTAGTAAAAGAAAAAATAAATCATGTTGGAGCATCCACAGCTCAAACCAAAGACTTGATATATAATCTGATACTGAAGCTTATTTTAGAATACCAAAATAAATTTTACAATCACACTACTACTAACTCAAAATTTTCTTTAGCATGGTAATTGACACCATCTAGTCCTATATACCGATCCAAATATCCTCTTATATCCAATGTGAAACTTAACTGGCACATCATAATCTCCCCTACTTGAAACTTAATATCCTCATCAACATAATCCAGAATCAAGCCATAGAATGATATACATGAGACTCAACCTAGTGGTGACTCGAGGATAGGATGTACTTCCAACCCCATTTATGAGTAGTCCTTTCCTAGTTCGATCTTTTACCATGGTCAATACTAGATCCACTCTAATCTCATTTATAAAGACTTTGTCTGATAGAATAACTAGTCCATTAATTTGATAGACCTAAACTACTAGCCAAAAAGAATTAAGTTCAAATTAATTATGATAAGTCAACTTTAACATAATATACCAACCTAAGTTTCTTCCCACTTTCAACATAGGAGTAAACTAGGGCAATAGTGTATTATATTGAAATCCTTAATGTTCAAGGAAATCCTTATAAAGCCACCATGCTGGAGGACTCAAGGGCATCAATAACCATAAATTTAAATCTCAGTTTGTTATTCGTTTGACAACTGGTCGATTGGGATAGTCGAGGTATGTAGGATGGTAAACCAACTCCAATATCAATCGACCAGTTGGTTTACCAGCTGGTACATATTTGTCTGATCAGTCTTTAAGGCATTGTCATTATCTATTGCCAGATTATATTCAATTGACTATAACTGCTGAAGAATAGTACAACCACTTTGAGAAATTAGTTCCATTTTAATCATTGTTGATTATGTTACAGGTTAGATAGTGTCCACAAGATTTTGAATTTTCATTCAGAAAAAAAAAAATAGATTGACATGAAACTACAGGAGGTTAGAAAAGTCAAGAAAACATGTATTACATAATCTCAATCATTTTCTAGTTATGGAACATTTATATATATTTTTTTGGCCTTGAAAGGCTGAAAGATTAAAATCAGTAATTTGGACAATTTTCTCGATGTAAATAGTATGATTTAGAACCATGTTATGAAAAAATACAAGCATAAACATTTCGAGATCTTACAGAAGCTAATCATTTAACAAAGTTTTTTAAGTGTGACAGCAAAATATAAAGTAAACCAGTTGTACATGGTAACGAACTTGACATGATTGTCAACATTATGTCAAGCTTAATGTAGAAAAACATTAATTGCTGCAAATATGCATAACTGGTGATGCTTCACTCAAACATTTACATAATTTAGTTTACATATTCTAATTGGAGTTCAACATATTGTCAAAGTTTTTTGGCTGTAGAAAAACTCGGTGCGAAGAGTAGTCAATCCGATCATTGATTCTACTTCATTTTTCCTCAAGAAAAATAAAGTCCCCAAAATTTCAAAGAGATATTTTGCATTAACGAAGTTAGCTTCTCAAATTTCCTGGATCAAACTCTGTAGTGCTCCTTAAAATATGCAAAATACCTGTGTTTAATTTTAATAAGTTGTCTGCAATGGCTAGATACATCACCCGGGATTAGTTCCCTCATTTTGGCTAAAGAAGGAAGATAATATTTAGGAACAAAAACATATGTACATTTAGTAATGAAAAGTGTTCTTGGAATGGCAATATGCAGCAAATAAAGTACTTAATAATTGGTATTCGGTTTTGAATCATGATTTACTGCAGCTGATTGAAACCAGATTTCTGGGGCCTTTCTCTCTTTCTTAAGGTAGATCGCAAGTTTTGTTTCAATAAAAGGATTTTGTGAAGGTAATTCATTATTCTTGTGTTGTTATACTCGATAGAAAGTTGCAGCTTTTGCATCTCTTAATACAAGAAGTAATTATGATACAAGCATATTGAGATCTTCAAAATGACAAATAAGTCTAGATTTACATGACAAAATAGCAAATTTCAAGAGAACAAATATAATAAACATAGTTAAGTTTCTCAATACTGCAAGAAAAATATAAGCTATAAAAGTATCAAGGTGAAAACTAAACTAATAACGAGTTTCTATACAATTTTGCAACCAAAAAAGAGAAATTTATTTTAGAAAGAATTCTATATGCTTCAGATATAAAAATGTGATTCTGTTTGTTAATAAAATATACTTCCCTGGCTACCAAGTATTACTTACCAGCCTCAAAGGTGGGATAGGATCTGGTATTGACAGCATCAGCTTTTCATTCCATACAGGGTTCAAACTGCTCTTTATCACGCGTGTTTTCATTGACTGTAACAACAAACTGAAAGCTCAGATGCTCAATGCATGAGGGACAATCCAGCACTGCAAATATTGATATCAATAAAAACAAATTTCTTGCCTGGTGTCCCAAGTTCAGGATAACATATGGATCGCTAGTCATCATATCCCGAACAGCTAAGTTGGTGCCCTTAACTATGTTAACCTTAATTAATCCAACAAATTCGACCATGCCCATCTACAAAATATTTATTCAGTTACACAAAAGAAATTTTGAAGTGACCATTAATACTGAATAATTTGAACAGGTACATAAGTATGGAATGTTTATAATTAAGATCATGTAACTCATACCATTTTCTTGACAGCCTTATGTTCAGTTTCCTTTTTTCTCCAGCTATTGCGAAATGCATGACCTAGACCATGACGAATTCCAGTATGTTGCTTCTCAAGAAGTTTGTTGTTTGTAACATTGTTCTGAAAAGATGTGTTGGCGTCAGGAGACATTGCATATCCAATTTGTACATTAGAGCTTGAAAACTGTTGCAGTTCATACTTTCTCCTGAGTAATTAAGAAATATGATATGGATTTAGAACAATGTCAGATGTCATGCATAATTTGACAATTCCAGGAAGCAGACCTGATAAATTCAGAGCGTTCGTCAATTGAAGAATCAGGTTTTGGCTTTATAATATTGTCAGGCAAGAAGGCTTCGTATCTAGCATTTGCAGCAGCATTACCACCCCCGTCAATTAAGGAATCAACCTGTTCGTCTGTCCAATCATCCAACTTCACTGATATAACCTGGAGGATAATAATGAAAGATGTGAAAACACACTACAGTGTGATGAAAGACAGATATCAAGTTACTATCCATCTTAACAAATTTCCCATTTGTGGTTACTGGTGAATCTTGTTTGCATTTAATTGGCACAGTTCATCGTATCATCTCACTGCTTTATATGGATTCTGTTTTTCCATTTTCACATCTTGTTCTCTTCACAAGCTATGCCCAAAGGTTTTTCAATCTCAAATCTAATATTAGTTAGTTGATCTATAAAGAATAAAATCCAAGAGGTGTAATTATAAATCTGGGAGAAACACTTATTGGCAACTCATAATGACAGACTTCCATTTAGATCAGTTCAAATAACCTCATTTAACAGAAAGCAAACTATTCTGAAATGATTGTTTTTATCAGTATATTGTACATGTGGTAACGTAGGGCAGACATATTCCGCTTAACTTCTTTCTCATGCATGCTCACCTTAAGTAATAATTTTGGCTTAGCTCTGTAGTTTGAACTTATCTGGAACTACTGGTTGCAGTTAATATTGTTTAGGCGTCAAACATCCAAAAGCAACAAAAATGTCATAAATATTTTCGTGAGAAATTCTTTATTTATTCAATAACATGCATGCTTGAAATTTGCAGAAAATTACTTGATGAGATGTTAAAGATTTATCACATTTTTGCACTAGTAACCATAGATGAATCAGGCTAGATTCCTATTGGAAGGATTGGTCCTTATCACTCAAAATCAACAAAAAGGATCAAAGTCAAAGACCAAATTAGCTAAAAATGATCTACAATATTCAAAACATAGGGAAACCAAAGTTTATGTGATATGAATCAAGGTAGGCAATACCGAATGATACCGCCCGGTACGGGCGGTAAGTACCGGTCCGACGGTATACTGGTATGCGGACCGTACGCTACCGGACGAAACAAAAAAATAATAAAATAATATATATATATTTTTATTTATTTATATATAAATATTTTAGAAAAAGGCGACGCGACGTCGCCTTTTTCGGTGACATCACCTTTTTCAGCGATGTCGCTGAGGCGCCTATTTCGAATTATATATATTTATTTATATATTTAAATAAACGAGGTGACGTCGCGTCGCCTCGGTGACATCGCCCCGCGTGGGGAAGGAAAAGGCGACGTCGCCGAGGCGATATGACGTCGCCTTTTAAATAAAAAATATATATAAATATATATAATCTTTTATATATATATATATTAATTTATATATATATATATAAACGAGGTGACGTCACCGAAGCGACGTCGCCCTGCCTGAGAGAAGAGAGAGGCGACGTCGCCGAGTTATATATATATATAATATATATATACCGCTCGGTATACCGTTTTGTACCGTACCGAGCGAACGTCGAAACGCTGATACGATACGGTTTTGCGAACCTTGATATGAATATAGTTTGCACTTTGTATCTTCATCAAATTAACACAAAAGAAATGGTGCAAAAAGCATTCATTTATTGAACTATGATCTAAACTACTTTTAGGCAATCAAATTAATACCCTCAATTTAAATATTGTTAAATGAATACATACAAAAAAACAATTTGTTTTACTACCTCTACAGAACAAAGAAATATTTATATTTTTAAAAAAGCTTGCTCTTTCCTTTATTTGATGAATATGTTAGAATTATTAAAAATTTTGATTTTTAAATCTAATATTAATTAGTTAGTTTATATTCAAAAGAACTGAGCCATGATTAACAGCCTTTATGATTGATTTTGTGATAAAAGAATTGAAGCCCCAACAGTCCTGATGAGATTCTAGCTGTATTTGGTTTAAGTTGTGTCAATAAAATATAAAGATAAACTAATATATGGAAAGACTGATATTCAGAACTAAAGCGGTGCTGCATATGAATACCTTAGAGATATGAACTCCAAGACTTCTGTGTACCCCAGAACATTTGATACATATAAACACTCCAAGATTCAGTGAGCTGATGATAAAAATTTTCTGTTAGATGTATTATTGGAGGAAAGCAGTTGAGTGCTTGAGAATTACAAATAGCATAGCTGAAAGTAACTAGATCTTAACATCATAAAACAGAAAGCTGACGTGTGTAAACACTTCCAACTTATTTGCTGAATTACATGCAAAGCTACATCTCAAATGAACTTATACTAGATATTGCCTTCTTAATTCTTACCCACCCTTAGCTTTATATAATGCATTAGAATACCATAATCTACTCGGCATTGAGTCAACAAGTGGCAATAACCACAGACTAATATGGTTGAGACTTACCAGTCTGACCAGATATGCTATACCAACATGCCACAAGTCACCAACTCTCACAAAGCGCATCGGCTGTCATTACTATATGAGTCAGCAACTCTTACTATACGTAACATTTCAGTACTCCTTTTTGAGGGCTTAGGCCATACGAAATTTGGGCTCAGACTGACAAATATGGTACCAGAGCAAAATTCACTATTAATTTGTTGGTCACATTGGCATCTGCTACACATCCAAAGAATCTCTGGACTAGTAGAGACAAGTACCAGGTATGGTGGTAGCAACATGGTGAGCCACAGTGCCTAAAGAAGATTGTATGGGACTACACATCCAGCTCATTTGATCCCCACATCATTTGTAGGGGATCCTAGTGATTAAAGAAGACTGTGTTGCCCTAATTTTAGACTAATACTCATGCCCAAAGACTTGGATCATATGTCACCAACCACTCCTAAAGAACAACTATTGAATGCTTCTTTTGGCAGCATATTCTACCTGGTATTCGAGCTTGTATAATGACAAATATGTTATAAGAGCAACAACGACTCACGGTGTGTGGGATATGTTTAACTATTGTGCATCATGGTGAATCTCTGGTATGATAGACAAACTGCGCCACTGAGTATAATGGTAATGACTAGTGACATGGTGGATCATGACACTTTTAAACCCCACCTCACCTAAAGGTGATCCTGGTGATATGATGTTATTAGTGTTGGATCATGCATTTTTAAACCCCACATCACCTAAAGGTGATCCTGGTGATCTGATGTTATGCGTATATATGAGCTGATCTATGTGGGGGAAGATTGTGATACTGTGATCCGATTAGTTTCACATCATATTGAATGTGGACTAAGGCTTATGATACATATGAGTAACTCCTTACCACCAAAGAGCAGCTTACGAATGCTCCTCTTGACGGCTTAGCTCAAGTGATATTCAGGCATGATTCATGACAGATTTTAAACTAGAATCTGTCTATTTATAACAAGAACTTATTGTTACACAATTTTGTTATAATAGAAGCAATGAAGAAATATTTGTATATTATCTAGAATCAAATACTTACACCCATTTTGGGTCTGGGGAGCCACAATCAGCACAATATCTATTACTTGGATGACTCAATAGGTTTTCTAGCCTTCCTAGTGGACTTGAATAACCTGAAAAACAAAAATGCAATCCAAACTTTAACCTTCTTCATGCTTTCATAATCAAGTGATTAACAAAATAAAAAAAATAAAGAATATGCAAAATATTAACATAATAAAATTGAGATTGCTCTTCAATGATCTATTTAAAATATTGCAGCATTTCACCAGAAGGGAGAATTCATTTAACAAAGGTAAGATGACTGACTGCATGGTGATCAATTAAAAATCGTAGATTGAAAATACAAAGTCAATTTTAGTCCCATGGGGTGGGGGGTGGGGATAATATAACAAGCAATTTTCGTGGACAACCTATGTGATTGTTTGACAGAGATAAATTTCTTCCATACATGCTCTATCGGAATTATGGCTTAAGTAGAGTCTTCTACATAGTTGTTCATATTAGGGTCCATAGAATCAGCCCCCAATAATTTAAACAAATCTCAGCATTATCAGCAGTAAAAGTAGGATCCTATCTACACCTTTGGTGCTTAAGTATTTTCTCATAAACATAGGACCATAACAGTGATTATTCAATCAGTTCTAGTAGTCCAGAAAATATGTACGGATGCCAGTTGGCAATCTAAATAATCATAAAATCAAGTTTGAGATGCATTCTTAGTCCTTCTGGAGCACCCAGTCCATTTGAAGACCTCAGGAAGAGTGGTTTTTTTATTTATCTTCAATCTTGATATTAAATGATCAACAATATAAGTTACAAAATTCAAGTAAATTGGTGCATATGACCTACCAAAATAACTTAACTTGGTGATTAATTCATTACTGAATGGTTTGTCCTTTTCCATTTTGTCATGTCTTGCACATATGTATGCTATAAGGCCCCTAAGTGGTGTTATTAGTTTCCAACAACAGAAAGAACAGGGGAACCTAATTCCTAAATTAGCCTTTAAATTTAATTTTGAAAGAAGTTTTGGAGTTTACTGTATAACATATAAACACAAATAACCTGGTTTTTCCAACTGTACACGGTGTTGTCTACAGAATAATTAGCTGCGATAGTAAGAAAGAAGTATTTGCTCTCAATAATATTGAAATAAAGTTATGAAAGTTCATGCTGAGATGAACCAGTAAAGGCAAATTATCACAATAGAACATGACTAAATGCCAGATGACGAGCGAGAATCACAAAATTCAGCCATTAAGCAAAATTCCAACATTGTGCAATTATGATCTATATAATCAGGATCATTGTATCCAAAAAAAAGGGGTAGAAGTGTAAAGTCTTCCATGTTTACGTTTCTCGTTTCTGCTTCCATCCTTTAGGCTGTATTTGGTTGAAAGTCAAGGAAGGTTAAGTTGGAAGTATTGTTACAACACAATATAATCTTGAAATTAACATGTTAAAGAGGCTTAACATTGATAATGCAGTATAAGAAAATCCACAGTTGGTTAAAATAACCGTCTCTCATCTTCTTTGATACCCAAATAACTCTTCTGTTGACAACCAACAACAACAATTCATAATATCCAAGTATTTCGGGTTAACTACATAGATCACTTGCCTCCCAAGATCCTGCATTGACAGGATATTTAAGTTTTGAAGTTGTGCTCTCATAATTCCACCCACAGTATTCACTACCAATCTTTAAGCCTGAACGGAGGATGATTGTATTAGGTCACTGCTAGCCAACGTAAAACTGCCAGATATCATGAGCTTTGTATCTTGCTTTTGACAACCAAACAGTTAACTTAGCCCCAAAGCAAAAGGTAGCCTTAGATTTTGGATTGATGCAGGCTATGCATTCTAGCTGATTACCCCATAATTTCTTCAGTGTTATTCCCTATTTGAAAATTTCTTTGAAAAATGAAACATCATTTAAAATTTATATTCGTAATGTTTTGGCTTACTATGTGTTCACAATAGTCTTAATTTGTCTCTTGAAGGAAATTTCAGGTTCATGGTGAAGTTTCCATGCTGACACAATTAGTTGAATACGTGGTTCTACAAGAAAAGTAGAAGTCCAAGTACTCCAATTTTGAACTTTTGTACTGACAAGATTCCTCATGTGATTCAAATGATGTCCAGAAATTTTCACCTATCCATTCAATAATCCCCTGATCGAGAACCTGTATGTGATGATCCTCGCTAATCTTGTACATGATGAAGTGCATTTATTGTTACTTCAAGAAATAGAAACAAGTTGTACCCAATTTTAATCCACATTTTTCGATCTCAGTAACTGGTAGATTATTCCAAAATGAAAGAGGAGGATCCGACTGTTACATGCAATTTTTAGCAAATCAGATCATTTCTTCGATTGCCTCAAATTTTAAGCACAAACAATCTATGAATAAATTAAATAAACGTATACAGTTATAAACAAACAACAAGAAGCAGAACCCCCTGGTACTGCGATTCTTGCATCAGGAGGCGAAAGAAACATCAAGAACGGAAAGGAATGATCCCAAAAAAAAAAAAAAATTACAAAGAACGTACCGACAAAAACAAACAAACACGAAGAGGGCCAAGCAGAATGGATTAATTGAGGTAAAAACGAAAAAGAAGGAACCTGAAGAATTGCTGGTATCGTCGTATTCTTGTTTGGTAGACATTTACATGCCAATGCTCCGAAAGAACAACCACGGCAACCTCATTCAACGCGTTCCCATCGGCTGTTCCAACTCTTGTCGTCAGAGCCAGAATACCGTTCCGCCTAAACGCGCATCGAAATAAAGGGATCAACTAATTCCGATCTGACGAAAACGAAAGGGCACCGACGAAGGTGTTTCTTCTTTTTACCTCCGAATCGATCCGACCAACGGAGTCTTCTTCACCTTCCCATCCAAAAGACCTGACCGACCACAATCAGCGAACGCCTATCGACGAGCGGATGGAAGAAAGCAAATATCACAAATTCCTTGTCCTTCTTTTTCCGTTTTTTATTTTTTTGCCTTTTGTTCCCCTAATCTCCATATTTTATTATCATCGACAAACAAATAGTAAAACAAAAAAGTCTAATGGATTGGCCACAAGTCGTTTTCTATTAATAATTGCCAAGAGTCTACGCGTCAAATTAATTATATCAACGGCGTATAATGACGTGGAACCTCAAAACTAATGTTAACGCATCCTTGAAAATGTCGGAAAATAATTGTATGATTCACTAAACTAAGTGTGATGATGATAGTACGTTAATTTTTTTTATTAAGTATGATGAGATAGATTCATTTTAAAACAAATATTTTATTATAAAAATATTAAAATAAATTAAAATAAATAATAAATCTTTAAACATGATCCTTACTCACGTTCATAGAAATGTAGGAATTGACTCTGACATAATATCATGCATGGTATTCTGTTAGAGCAAACAAAAACATCCTTTGTTTCCTCAAGTGATATATAGCTCGCTTTTAGCTATATAGATAATGTATTTTTTTTTGGATCGAACGTGGGTCACCAACGGTCTGGTAGCTTACATCAACCGTTCTCCCTTCAAGGCCCGACACTCAAACGTGGATCAACCGTTGTCCCTTGAAAAAGCCGGAGATATAGCTGTGTGATGATTCAACTATCAATTGAATGATCAACAAAAAAAATTTGCTCACATCGAAGATGACTAGAGATTAGAACTGTGGAGACCCAAAACGCTAACAAGACTATAACAATGGTCGATAAGATTTCCCACCGTGTGTGTAAAGCTCCGAGCACCTAAAAAGAGTCCAAAAACAACTGCACTTCCCAGTATGGTTTGCCCAATAGATATACTCTTCGACAGTCTTGGTACCTGTATCAGGTAATAAATACCATTTCGACTATACACATCTCTTGCTTGGATATGACCTATGCATCAAACTAGTGATTCAAGAGGACAAATTTAAAGCCTTCATTGGTGATAGATAAAATGGCATCATATGTGTGTGTAGCACAAGATAGACTTGCTGATCTTAGTGACAAAAGCGAAAAAAAAACAAAATAAAACAAAAGGAAGAGCTAGGCTTCCAATAAATGATAATATCCTTAACCCTTGAGCATAATCTGATTAATAAAGATGAATTTAAAGGCCGGAGAAAATGATGTCAAACAACCTCTCTTAGAGAGCCCCTCATGCGTCACATAAGGTATTATTTCTTCTTTTGTTGAAAATTACTTTTCAGCAAATTATTTTCCTGATTTCGAAAAAAATTATTTTCATGATATCAAAGCAATTATTTTCTCGATTATGTAAATAATTAGTTTCTTATCTTTTTTTAAAGAGATTGGTTTCCTGAATTTTTATAATTTAGTTTCTACATTTGTCAAATTTGTAGCCCTATAAATTCTCTAAAGCTCTCTTAATCGAATAAATCAAGAAATATTCCTTTTTTACATGATATCGGAGCCTATATAATACAAGACCAAAAGCCTTTTTTTTGTTTTTCCCAAATCTCTCTTTCTGTCTCATGTCTTTTTCAACTCAAACCTCTCTTCTCCCTTTAACCAAACCATGTCTCAATCATTCCCTACTGAACTCTAAAATATTCATCTCTGCTTTAGACTCGATGGTCAAAACTATTTGGTATGGTTTCAACTTGTGTCCACTGTTCCAAAAGGAAATGAAAATTTGAGGCACTTGGACCAATACCAAGGGAAGATGACCCAAAGTTTGCTTCCTAGGATGAAGAAGATTCCATGATTATGACATGGCTTTGGAACTCAATTCAACCGGTGATTAGTATATATATATACATACATA